TGCAAACAAGTCCTTTCATATGGTTTTAAAAAATCTGATGGGGTAGGTTATGGAGACAGTGGTGGTAAAGGGTACTTTAGAGAGCTAAGTGGCCAGAAAAGGGATGTGATATGTGGAAACTATGAGTACCATGAGTTAAGTGGGCCAGAAAGAAGGTACTGGGAATTTCCTTACTTAGGGAACTGGGCACCCATTCACTGGTCTGCTTAAAGGCTCAAATGACTTAGTTGATATCACTGATTTGCAATATGGGGGCTAAAAGGGAGGAGCAGGAAGGTGATTTCCATGCAACAGAGGGAAATTAAATTTCCCAGGCAGAGATGGTTCAAAAAGCAGAGATTTGGCATAGAGGAGACAATACAAGTACTATAGTATTTGCTAATGTTGTGAAACCATCTGCAAATTCAAACTGTCAGTAAATATACCAAATATATTCCTCTGCTTCAATAAAAATATCTACTTCTTTGTGGGCTAAAGAGTTTACTGAATGGAGGTTTGAGTCAAGGTTCAAGGCTTGAGCATCAGAAAGGTAGATGTGCCAGGATTTTTTTTTTTTTTTATCCAAAATGGTAGTGTTGACCATTTTGGTTAAAAAAAATATTTTCACCTCTGGACAATTGATGGGATGAAAAGGAGTTGATACATTAGAGACTTGAAATACAGGGACTTTCATGATTTCCAACAAATATTTCCATACAACCTGTTCCTGGAAGGTCAGGGTTTAGCCCCAGAGGTCTTGGGTCATTCTGCCTCCCGGAGGGCACAGGTGAGACCTTTCCACACTGAAGATTTCCCTGGTTCCTCTAATTTTTCCAACTCAACATTCCTTGTGGGAGAAACTTCACCAGTCAGGAAGTCTTGAAGGAGGGTGTGTGGGTGAGAAGTGGGGGTGTTGGAAAGAAAACTTGAAATTCCTTCGTGTTATCTGCAAATAGAAAGTTCTACTGTCCTCCCCAACCCTGCGCCCTGCCTTTTCAATTATATATAGGCGATCAGGAGGTTTCTCTCATGCTCTTAATCTCAGTTACCTTAGGAAGATCTAAAACTCCCCTTGGGAGAGAAACCGAGTAAGAACAAAATAGTATTAGAAGGCTCTTCCCCCTTGTTTTGCCCTTCCCCATTCTCCTAACTCCTTCCTTTCTTCTTTCTCCCAGAAAGGGCAGTTAGTGGAGAGGCCTTTGGATCCACAGCCCAGGCTCCGCCCTACACCTCCAGCCAGGCTTCCGTCTGTATTCGTAATTAACAGGTGTACCTGACCGGAGTTCCCTACCCTGTTCTCATTGGGACACCTCGTGCGTGTGTGCAGGGTGGCTCCCAGTCTCTCTAGCCTGGCGTCTCCGGCTGATGGGTGCCCTCCTCCTCGACGCTCAAGAGCCCAAGACACAAAGCCCTCCACTCTCCCGCCCCAGGCAGCCTTAACCCTCCCACTCTTGGGAGGAGGAGTTGGGGGAGGTAGTTTTGGTCTTTTGAGACTTCACTCTTCACCCAAAAGAAAGCAGAGAGGGCCCGCGATCTGGGATCAGGAGGGCTGCAGCCCAGGCTCCCGCAGTTCTCAGACCCCGCCCGCCAGCGCTCAGCTTCTAGTTCCTGCACTCTTTCCGCATTCTTGGCCTCTGCGGGACCCAAGGCCAGAACTGTCAAGATCAGGAGCAACTCCTCGCTAAACTCGCCTAGTTAGACACAGCCATTGGCAATGGGGGCAAGAATCGACGGGACGATCCTGCTGGGGGTTTCAATATCCTCAAGCAACTGTGGGGCGGGGCTGGTGAGTCTTTAGATTGAGCTGAGCAATAGATTATGGGTCTCCAAAGCTTGATTTTTCTGAGGCCAGTGATCAAGTCTCTCAAGTCCTCTACTTATACTTTTATTCCAGCAAATGGGCTCCCGGCTCTAGGCTTGTGATTTGGGGGTGCTGGGCCCCAAGTTCATATAAGAGTACCTCAACTGAGAGGAGTGCAAGAGGCCACAGCTTTTGTAAGCTAGAGAGACACTGTTCAGATCTTTCGGGGTCCTTGGAATCAGCATTTGAACCACCTCACCAAATTATTCTTGTTTGTGATTTTCCCCCTTTCATAGGCCGTGAAGTCAACAAACTCCCCACATGGTGGCTCCCTTTACTAAAGCTGAGTGAATTGCACAAGGAGTCTTGGAAATTTTCAAATATTTCTCCAGATTGAACTCATTTCGGAATTCGCGTGGGAGGAAAGAGTAAGGATTTTAATGGGGTTCACCTTTGACGTGAAGCAAGGCGGAAGACAGGAAAGCCACAGTAGGTAATAGATTTTGGGCGCTTTAGTAAGAAAGGCTTCTCTGCTTGATTATCCGGTGGTGTTCACCGCAGGCTCTTTTGTGTGGGAGCAGAGGCAGAACTGAATAGCGAACACACGCATGTAAACACTCCGATAGAAATCAGAGGACATGTGCAGCCAAGACAAAGAGATTCATCCCTATGTAGATATGTTTTAAGTTTTATTGAAGGCAGGAAGTCTAGAGCATAGCTAGGAAGAAACTGAGGAAGCAGGCAGTTTTGGTCCACTCCTGGCCAGGAATAAGTACAACTTTTATCTTCTTGAAGAAAGTATTAAATCTCAAATAAGAGCGGGAATGGCATTGAGAATGAGAAGCATTATGTTTTGGGAAAAGCATACAGAGCTAATACAGCTTATTTAAATGTTAGATTCAAATCATAGTAACAGGAAACACTCCCACTTAATTGTCAGACTCTAATTTTTGTGTTAGATCCAAATAATTAAAATGCACATTAATGTTATAGATGTGATTCCCTTTTAAAGGAAATAGACCCTAAATCTCTTACTGGAGTAAAAATTTATGAATCTTCTTGATTACAGGGACTTGGAAGTTCAGGGTGGATGTGCTCTCCCCTTATTGCTTTTCTTTTCATACGTCATTTTCAGTTAAAAAAAATTTAACCATTCCCAAGGGAGGGATTTCTATTAGAAATCCTCAGCAAGTGAACTTGTACTGGGAATCCTCCTGTTTTCCAGTCTGGCTGTATTTCCCCAAACAGAATTCAACTTGTAAAGTAAGTGTAAAAAACATTTCTCACCACCAAACTCTTAAAATTTCAATTCTTGTGGAAAACATGATGTCGCAGTTTCAATTTTTAAAATCAGTAAGAGCCACAGAAAGTGCGAAGGTGTACAAACAGGAAATCTAGAGATCCAGGACTGAGAACAGAATTCTCTTTACTGAATTCTAAGGCAGGGATGGAGATGGTTGTCAGCATTAGGACATTCATGAACATTGCAAGGGTGTTGTATCTGAACAGCAGAGTGATTTAGACAATGAATTGCTACATTAATAGCACCACTGCCAAGTCTTCAGATTGAGAGGCTCTGGTGAAAATTAAACTGGTGGCAATTTTCAACATTTGTAGCATCTGCGCCCAAACAGTTCAGCACCTAGAGTACGGACAGCTCCACAGGCCGGTTCCTGAAGCAGCCTTAGCTCTAATCAATCTACTGGTAGCCAGACTGTCAACCACAGCCAGACGCATTAGAAATTTACTGAAAATCCTCCAAGACTTCCCTTTAAAAACAAAACGACTTCCACATTTAATTGTCTATTTGAAAGGACATACGCAAGAAATTAGGAGATCTAAATTAAATTTATTAATAGGAGAGCTCGATGGTGCTTCATTCCAGAGATCAGAGCTCGCATTGGTAAGGCTTGATGAAAAAGTAAAAGAGAAACAGTAGGGATATAGTTAAAAACATAACTTTTACCCTCCTAGAAATTCTACGAATTCTTTACCTGTCCTTGAGAAATGGGTGAAATTGAAAACCATCAAAATAATTGGACTTCTTAAAAATTGGATTGTATGAGTGAAAGGTGTTTATGAGAAGTCGATGACTCCGGATCTTATCATCCTAGAGGACAGCACAGAATAGTTAATATGTTCCTTGAGGGACTGGGATGCTGACGTCTTTTTCTGATACTCGATCATTACGTGACTGAAAAAAAAAAAAGAGGAAGTCACTTCATGAATAAAAATCCGAGCGCAACAGTGCAACAAAATATTCTGTACTTAAAGGCAATAGGCAGACAGATGTTGACAAAGAGGGTTCTCCTAAAACCATGTTCGGGTAGATTTTTTGCTAACTGCATATATAAATACGAGCAGACGTCCGGTCACCTCTGTCACCACCCGCAGCAGCAGAAGAAGCCGCATCTTCAGACGCAGCCAGAGGGACCTCAGAGCAGAGAAGGAGCTGCCTGACTCTAGAAGCTGCCTGACCCGGCAGCCCGGCTGCGCGGCCGGCTCTCTCTTTTTCCTTCCTCCCCTTCTTTGACTTTTCCTCTTTTCTTCCTCTATCACTTGCTTTTTTTTCTCCCGGCGGACTTAAGCGCCACTCCGTTCCCCCTCCCTTAGGCTCGTCGCTTCCTCTTGATTATACATCTCTCCAAGTCACGCTCCCTCCTAGTTCTGAGTCTACAAACTTTTGAACGGAATACTAGCCTCAGCAAACAAGTCCTCCAGCTCCTCCTGCTGCTCCTGCTCATTCCTGCGGCTTCTCCTCAGACACCAACGCCAGACGGTGATGCCTTTCGGGTTGTGATTCCAGCTTAGAAACTTGAAGGAGCCCTTTGCCCGCCATCCTTTTTGGCAGCAAACCCTCTCATAGCAGCGGTAAGAGTTGAATAGGAAGGGGGGAAAAATCTCACCAAACCAAACGACTCACTTGACTGCTGATTTTTTTTTCTTTTTCCCGCCAGCACTGGCATCAGGGTACGAATTAGCTTTTCTTGTACCAGGTCTGTCTAGTTATCGGGAGCTGGGTGTATGCAAACATGTTTTCTTTCTAACTATAGCAATCGAGAAGTGGCAGGGCGCGCGCTGGCTGTCGCGCTAAGTGGTATTCAACGCAGGGAGCAGAAGCTGCGCTCCCTCCCCCTGCTCCTGGAGTTTCCTGGGGTTGCAGGGTAGAAGGCCAGGGGCGTTCTCACGGTTGTGTGTCCTCTTTTCCATCCTGCGCAGAATGACCATGTGTAGCGGAGCAAGGTTGGCCCTGCTGGTCTATGGGATAATAATGCACAGCAGCGTCTACTGCTCACCTGCCGCCGCCGGACTCCGGTTCCCTGGGATCAGGTAGGTGCTGGGCGCCTGTGTTGAGCTGGGGCTTCCCTTTGCCGGAACACTTTCTCACGGTCGCCCTCCTTCAGTTCCTCGGGTACAGGCTACTAAGCATTGCTCCCCGTACCCCCAGTTCTCTCTGTCAATCTTGGCTGGGCCCGGGGTCCTGGCCCTAGCTAATCCTCAGGGCCAGGCAGGCTCCACGACGGCTCGGCGCCCCTCCCCCAACTTTACGCATTCCTGGGACCCGGGTACAGCGAGTGAGCTTCCGAGTGTTGGAGAAACCTCCCTTCCTCCAACCTGGCCCGAGGGAGAGTGGGGGTGGGGGCAGGGCAAGGTCCCCAGCTGGGCTTCTTTTACCTATTCTTAGGACGAGTTCGGAGAGAACATGGGTTCCCACCGCTAGTCAGGGGGTTGAATGTGAAGCTCCCTCGGACTTTGCTTTGTTACAGGGCTTTCTGATTATTGGGGCGGGGTCTCTCTCTCCCCTCCGCCCTTCCTCTTCACCTCATTCGAATTCTTTCTCCTCAAGAGCTTTCTTTCAAGGGATCCATGTTCCAACTGCATTTTGTGTCCCAGACTGTCTTGGGGAGGGCAGTGTTGGCAGTTTATTATGGCTAAGAAAAAGCAACTTGAGAAAGGAACGAGAATGAGACTGCGAGGGAGGGGGAGAAACGGATGCAAAGAAGGAGGAAGAGAAAGCATGCAGGCAGACAGCCTTGCCTAGCCCAGGGTGGGGGAAACCTGGCTTTTTTTCTTAACCCCCGGTTTCTAATCGGATGGCACAGCCCGGGTTCCCCATCGCAGCCCCAGAGGACCCCCACCGATGTGCGGGATAGTGAAAACGCGTTGGGCAGCGCCGAGTCCCGGTGGCACTCCGGGCAGTGAGGACGGCAGCTCTTCCCAGCCGCGCCCAAAACGTTTGGCTCAGGGGGCGGCTGACCGTTGTTTTGGCGGTAGAGATGGGTTCTAGCTACAGTGTTAGGATTCCAGCCTCTAGGTACAGGGCAGGACAAAAGTGGTTAAAAAGACCTGGTTAGGGAGTACCAGGGCCAGGGCTAAGGCGCGTCGCCAAGAAAAGACGGGGTGTGGCGCGTGCTGAGGGATGTGCTTGCTTTGGTCTGGCCTCTCCAGGGATGGAGGAAAGGCAACCAGAGTAACAAGTAGGACTCCAGCCCTGACTAGGGAGAGCTGCTTGTCCTGGTCAAGTCTCTCCAGTGGCCCAAAGCGATGGGGCTTTGTGCTTTAACCCACCTCTTCTGCCCCATATCAAGGATGGAGGAGGTAGCCCAGGGAGACTGTGACGTCCCCAGGTACCCGCGATGTCGGTCCCCTGTTGACCTGTGCGCTGGTGTTGAGATGGGGTCCCTCCGCCCCGCCATCACTAACAGATTTAGCGTTAACTATTTATTTAGTGTACTTAAAAGCCTTCTTATTTCACCTCCAGCTATTTTCAAAGTTCCGTAAGCCTGGCACTTTCCCGGGGTGAGAGGCACCGGAGGGCGTGTACACAACACAGAAAGAGCCGCCACCAAACCGGCTAAGTTTAGGGGCATCTATTATTCATGTTCCTGCCAGATCCTTTCAGGCCCAAAATAGAAGCTGGAGGTTCTCCGTGACCTACATCCGTGCAGGGAAGGGCTCCCCTGGGCTCAGAGGCTCGGTTGGGGGTGGCTGCCAGAGTTAGCCGCCACACATACTCCCCCCCCCCCCCACCTAGCCTCTCCATTCCGCTCTGGGCCTCTCCCCCTTTGGGTCTTCTCGTTGGTCAGTGTCTAATCTCCTAGAACTTTTTTCGTCCCTGAGTGTTTATACTTGGGGGAACCTCGGGTGCTGGGAGGGGGCAGTTCTTTCTAGTGGCCAAGTACGCATGATTAGCAGAGACGCCTCGGTTTCCCAGGGCTCCTGCAGGGCAACCCTTTTTCCAGCAGAGGGGTGGGCAAGCTTCCTCGCGGAGTAGGAATTCCGGTTGGATGTAGGACCCTCCTCCTTACCATTACCCCYACCCTGCCTGGGAAGAAAAGACAGATCTCTTTAGGGGACCTTTTGGAGGAAGGAAAATCAGTGCGGTCTCCCCTCTTTGGGTCCTCGCAGAGCAGGGAGGACTGGTAATGACCACTCTTTCTGGCTACCTCGCAGTCCTGAGGATGAGGCTTACGACGAGGACGGAAACTCGCTGCAGGACTTTTACGACTCGGACCCGCCCGGCGCAGGGAGCCCCGCCTCTGCGCTGCATGACGCCTACGCTCTCTACTATCCAGCGGAGAAGAGGTACGTCCCGCGCGGCCTCGGCGGCAGGCCCTGGACCACGAGCCCTAGGACCAAGGTGGTGGGTAGGGGTAGGGTGGTGGCCCACGGAGTATGTCCGTTTTCATCAAAGTCCTTAAGTCTCCCTTTGGCCTGGCCCGATCCCACGAGACCGAAGGGAAAATAGGAGCGGGAGGATCTGTGTGGACCTAAGGACCGCGTAGGGACCGAAAGGTCTGTGGCCCGAGGAACGTCAGTGAGCGCGGGCCTCCGTGGAGGGGAACGCAGACTCCTGATCTGCCACCTTCCCAGGTCAGAACTAATTCTAGATCCCAGCATTCACTTTCGGGAACTTCTTAAGAGAGTTAGTCTCAAGTTCCTTGTCTCTAGGCGTTTCCCGGTCATCCTCCTTGAATGCCGAGAGGCGCACGCGCCCAGCAATGGGGTCTTGGGCTGCCACGGTGGGGGCGCGAGGCAGTGACCTGGGGCACACATTTTGCCTCCCGTTAGAGATGTCGCCCAAGGGATCCTTAACAAGGCCTACCGCAAAGTGCTGGACCAGCTGTCTGCCAGGAAGTACCTGCAATCCCTGGTGACCAAGAGTGTGGGGTAAGAGTTGGTGAAAGAGTTAAACCGCGCGTAAGGGTGCGCGCGCCCGGGTGGGTGATTGCGGAACGCGCGCGGGGTGGGAGGGGCAGTTTCTACGTCTGTGCGTACAGGTGAGGCTCGGGGTGCGTCTGAGCCCTGCGGGGTGGGGGTACTCGCCGCCAGCAACAGGCAGAGGTTTTGAAGTGACATGTTAAATTTGACAGGAGAGGCGGAGACCAGGTGAGAGCGGAAAAGGGAAGGAAAACGGCGGATTTTGATCCGTTTTGAATGAAAAGAAAGAGAAACCAAACAAAACCCCCTAGTCATTCTAAACCTTTAAGGTTCTCGGGAGGATTTGCTATAATTTCCAATGAATCGCGACATTTTTCGGGGGGAGGGGCATTGTGTTTATTATAAATTCAAATCGAAGTAAACAAATCACTAAATTTGGACACTTAGGGAAACAGTTTTTGCTCACGCCAGACAAACCCAGAGCTTAGGGCTTGCGTGAAGCCTGTCTCAGCAGAAGGCAACATTTTAATAAAGCTCGCGGGGAAACAGATTACATTTTCGCAATGAATAATTCATGCGGTGAAAAATATTGCCTACAGCCTGTCGACTTATATTATTATCACGTTTTTCAACTTAGCGTGCGGAAGGAGAGGAGTGCTTGTATTTCACTAGGAAATGCGGGATCGATATAAACACCAGGGTAGCAGCCAACGTGGCATTTAGGGCCTTTTGGTTATTTTCTTTGTATATCGGGGATGAGAGGAACAGTTAGGAAAATCGAGCGCAATCGCCAAATCTTAAAAGGCAGCCTTTGGAGAGACTTAGATCACGGGCCATCTTCCCTGATCTCCTTGGGGGGGGGGGCACTATAGGAATTGGTGCCTGGAAATCCTGGGTGGTAGGGAGGGTCTGGGGGGCTTCCATCACAGCCCTTTCCAAAGCCGCTCCCTGGCAGAGAGGAAGGCGGCGCGGTGGCCAGTGCGAGCCCCGTGTTCCCCCCTGGAGACTCCCGCGTGGGGTGGGGCGCGTCTGCTCCCGCAGGTCTTGAATCTGTGTCTCCCGCCCGGTCACCCTTTTCCCAACCCCTTTCCTTGCAGTGGGAACCTGGGCGGCGGCGCGGAGGACTGGGAGCCGCTCTCCAAGCGCCACTCGGATGGAATCTTCACGGACAGCTACAGCCGCTACCGGAAACAAATGGCTGTCAAGAAATACTTGGCGGCCGTCCTGGGGAAAAGGTATAAACAAAGGGTTAAAAACAAAGGACGTCGAATAGCGTTTTTGTAGCGATGAGTTACTTCCTACCCTGTGTATACAACCCTGACACAGTGAAAAGTCGTTTTCCAAACTGACTGAAGTCATCGCTCCTGTGTTCTATCCAAACATGTATTTATGTATGAAGTAAAGCCATTAAATGAATATTTTGATAATAATATTGTTTTTCTTTTTACAAAGCACTAGAGAATGCACAGATATACTTTGTGGACCAATATATATTATAAATATATATATTAAGAATATATATATAAGTATAATAGAGAGCAACTCATACAAAGTGTGCACAAGGATTGAAAATTTGCCTGAGCTGTTTATGTTTTTATATAAAATAAATAGAAAAATAGACAATCATTGTTTTGAATATTACTCCTATTTTTGTAAACTGGAATTCAAAGGATAGTATTTTTATCCACGACAGGCCTGAAGATATTAATATTGACCATTTGCTACTGTACATAAACAATGATGCCCTGCTCCAGGGGGATTTTGAGGTAATGATTTGGAGAATTGCTGGAGGGCATTCTTTCCCAGTGAGTCTCTGGGGCAGGCTGCTTCAATCCCAGCCTAATATATTCAAGTGGGCACTGTCCCACTGGCTGGGTGGCAATTCCAATATTTTCGCTTTCTTTGATTCTACTTTTATGTGTATTTGTCTCTCTTCAGACTCTCAGCCCAGAAGGAAATTCTAATAAAACAACAGCTCAATCCAAATTGTGCTTCTCCCCAGAATTGATTCTCTTCCCTGGATGAAGAGTGAAGGGACTGTACAGAGAAGGGGAGCTTGGGTAGGAAGCTCTCTTTTCTGTACTTCCTGATTCACCAGGGAACCAAATATCCCAAGGCTAGGGCAATTGGAACAAAAATGAAGGAAATAGAGGTATATTGGAAGAGGCAGAGCATAAGGCAGTAGGAGGAGACCCTGGAGCGGGACTGGTGTGAGGCTCCCCAAGTCTGGGAAGCTGGGAGTGAGTCCAGTCCCACCACAGGTCCACTGCCTGCCTGATTTTTGGGTGCTGGGTATTGGAAATGGATGCAAAGTACAATGTGTTTTTCTCCAGTGCTGTCCATGCTTCTCATCTTGTGAAATGGCCAGGATTCTCCCCCCCTCTGAACCCAGCTCTGTAGAAGCCACCCTTTTCCTTTGTGGTTTTTCTGAAGACCCTTTCTTCCCACCCTCCTGCACTGTTTAAGTACTGTTTACCATTTTTTTCATTCACTTATCTTAAACTTGTGAATGCTTCTGTTTTTTTGTTGTTGTTTGATGCAAGCAGTTATTGTAAAGTTTAGGAACTCCTGTGTAGCTACCACTAAGTAATTATGGACTAAATATGAACATTTTGTTTCTTGTTTATTGAGTTTGTAGGTAAAATGTATTTTTCTACATTATGGCTTATTGCTTAGTAAAATTTATTTCATAAAACCAATCTTTGTCATAATAGAATGTGTAGTGTTCACATGTTGCTCAGTTTTACTAACTGATAAATCATTTAAACCTCATCTTTCTATGTATGAGTACTATCTTATATCTGTGGTCAAGAATGAGGTAAGCAAGCTCCCTAAACCACCCTTGTATCCTTTCTTGGCTAAAGAAAGCATGTCTGTTTCCTGTCAATTCCTTGAACATATAGAGTAATCTTTATAAACAAAAGAACCTTCACCCAGCAACCAGATCAAGCAGCAACAGATTAACCAGCCAGTCCATCTCCCAAATTTCAGGCAAAAATTTTTAGGAAAAAAAAAAATAAAAAAAATAAAAAAAAATTAAGCATTAGTTTTTAAAATTTAAAGGATCTTTCCTTTTCCTTTATGGATTTGATCAGTATGAAGTCAGACATCAAAGAAAACAATTGTATTTGCATTCCCAAGGCGGGATGGATGCTGCTAGGAGATCACATTGCAAACAGTGAAAACAGAGAGGCATTCTATCTATGCCTGAGTCCTGCGTGTAGGATCAATCTTTCTTGAATTCCGCAGTCTCCTCAGGCAATGTGACACGGGATGCAGTTTGCAGCTTTAGTGCCTTTCTTCGCCTTTTAAATCGCCACGAATCACAGATGGCTATTTAGTGGCCCTATAATGCTGCAACACATCAGCTTGCATTTTAGTCTTAATTATTTGTTTCTTGGATAATGGGCAGAGTTTTCTGTATTTGTGTCAGCTGTTAGTGGTGAAATAGGGCTCTAGTTAACCTTTTATTTATGAAGTCTAATTTAGTGTTCCCGTGGCTAGTTGCAAGCATTTTACAGTGATCACCCAGTTTAATCTTTTGTATACTTTTTAGAAATGCCAAGAGCCTTACTAAACTGGAGCAGATTTATGATATAGTGATAATTTAGGTAGATGTTAGTCTTGAAGCTCTTATTTTGTGTGCAACTGATTATCAAAACATCTTAACCAAGTATTATTACACACATGATATCTATAACTAGGACTTTGATAACTGTTATATAAAGTGTGTAAAATTTGTATGAATAAATTTTTGTAAACAATGCAACTTGGTCTAATGTTTGGAGAAAAAAGACATTCAGGAAATAACTACTTTAAAATCTTTTAAAGTATTCTATTTCTTTAGCAGTCATAAGATTTTTCATGTCTGGAATATCTATGTAAGCATCCACATATTTTCAGAAACTGTACTCTGATATCTGCTTGATGGGTTACTGGATTCAACTAAAAATTTAAAATAGCTGTTCAGACAGAGATGCCTAAGCTCATAAATAGGCATGGATGTTGGAACATTTATAAGACATACTTTAATTTCCATCCCCTAGTGTGTATATACATTGCTCTATATTCAGAAAGTTACTAGGGAGTGGTGGCAGACAATACTGGAGTATTAGTTATACTTCTAAAATAGCTATCTAACATTGTTCTTTTTACAAGTAACTGTATACTAACTGGGTCTTGATAAAATTTTGTATGAAAATGATTGACATCAGTTTTGGAGGTTTAAACATGTGTTCAGAGATACACAAAGTTGTCTCTGACTAACATGTTGTAGGTAGATGGAACAAGAACTTGATAAAATAAGGAATTAATTAGATAGACACCTTTAAAAGAAAATGTATTTTATCAGGCATGGTGATGCATGCCTGTAATCCAAGTGCATTGGGAGGCTGAAGCAAGAGGATTGCAAATTTAAGGTCAGCCTCTGCAGTTTAGGGAGGCTTTAAGAAACTTAGAGAGACCTTGTCTCAAAAAAAAAAAAAAAAAAAAAAAAAGGCTGGGGAGGAGGCTCAATCCTGGGTTCAATCCTCAGTTCCCTCACAAAGAAATCATTTGTGAATCATATACTTTATTAGTTCATATTCACAACTTTTCAAACAAAGCCTTCACATGAAATTCCCATAAATTCCCAAGTGGTGTTTATTTTGGAGCCCTCAACTATTTCTGGGTTTAAGAAAACATTGTATTGAAAAAACACTTTAAGTCTTATCATTTAATTTAAAATGTCCTAACTTGGATTCTAAAAAATGTATTCAATTAATAAATCAATAAATATGTCATAGTTTTGAAGGAACAGCAAGGATTCAAAAAGTATTTTTAGAGCCCAGCAGTTGAGGCCCAGCATCATATAGGGAGGAATCCATAATAGAAATCCCATTTGTAGTCAATTTTTAAAGAATGAATATAGTCAGTTCACATTTACATTGGGTTTTATTGGATATGGAGTTTGTCTTCCCCATTTTATCCTGGCCCCTTTCCCTGCCATGTAGTCCTCCTATGGTAAATGGGAAAATGAAGAAACATAATTTATTTGCTTGAAGGACAATGACTTGTCAAGAAAATAAAGATAAACCCTTGACTTGACTAATACCAAGTGAAGTTCATATATCTAGCAAGTTGCTATGTTTTCTTATGTGGGATAACTCCAATTATGACTTTTCTTAGGACGACGATGTAGTATTCAGTAATCCATGATATGTGTCTTATTGCTGCTGGGGCTGGGAACACACTGATCCAACCCAATATAAATTTATCAAATAACCTGAAATGGGCCAGGCCAGGCTGATAGAAAGAGCTTGACTAACCCCTGGGAGGAAGGTAGTGTTTTTCTGTAACAGTCATCTGGGAGATTTACTAGCAATGCAAATTTTAGAGTTCTATCAGAACCACTGAATCTGCATTTTTAACAAAAACTACATGAATATGCACACAAATTTGAAACTACCTAGATTTTAAATTTGGTGACATACATAGGCACCTATATATGCTGAGGCTGGATATTTTTTTTTCATATTGAATAAGTAACACTTCACTGTCCCAGCACACAGGAGTAAATATACTAGTAAACCACATTCTCCCAGAATGGACATTAGGCTCTTGGACAATTGCAGTATTTCCTTCAAGTCATTAAGGTCACTAGTTAGTGTTATTTTTCTTCTACATTCTAGTTGGACCTCTCTGTTACAGGCACTTTTGGAAGGAGAATGACCCTCCAGGGTATAAACTATTCCATCACATGACTTGGGAAAAATCAATGCTATCATGGAGAGAACCTGCACAGCTAGCTGGCATTAGTTCTGGGGATTCAGAAGTCAACTTCCAATTGCATTATGTCCCAATGTTCACAGAGTGATTTTGCTTAGATGCCCCACTGTGGCCCCGAACTCAATCCTGTTCACGCTGTTAACAGGATTAGAAACCAAGATGGAGCTGGGCCTCTTCTCTTTCCTTGTCATCCTTCTTTGGAGAAGGGAGATGTCTGCTCCCCTGGCGGCTGCCTCTTGCCTACCACTGGGTTCTTACATTGGTTTGTAGCTGATCATCTGGGCCTTGCTCATTTCCCCTTCAACCAGGTAGCTTTAACTTCATATTCCTCTGATGAGATATTTCAGAATAGCCTCCTTTGTTGTAGGGTTTGGGTTCTTTGCTTATCAGTCTTACCTGTGTGTTCTTCAGTACAATCCTGTATCTTTAGAAAGACAGGTTCTTGTTAGTCTTTGAAATGCAGATACACATTTTCAACTCCTGACAATCTCCCATACCTGGAACATCTTCTTACTTCC